AGGAAGAGAGAAAGGTTTTTTTTTTTTTTTTTTTTTCTTTTGCTATTTTCGAAGGAAAGGAATTTTGGAGGCATCATCAGCCAATCCCAAACCAGATGTGAGATTCCCATCGTCCCGTCCTTCGATAAAACGTGACGCCTCGGTACTGCGAGCTCCGCGACCTCGGTCCTCGCCGGCACTTTTTCATCGCCGCCGGTTGCGGAGCCGCCACCGCCGCAATGGCGTAAGGAAGTATGGTTTCTTCCTGTCCGTCAACCTCTTTCCAATCCACGAGTGAACTGGTTATCCTGAGATAAACCAACTGGTTGTTGGCCTTCAACTTCATACGATAATCTTTTACCGTATCAAAGATGCATCTTGGTAGATGACTGAGTTCAGCCAAGTTGCTGCTTGGATGAATTTTTTCAATTAATCCACAAGCAAATGCTTTTGCGACTTTCACAGAATCTGCACCTGCTTCAAAACAAAATAAAGAAACATTTTTTCGGTTCACTGTTGACCAGTGTTCCTTTTCGTTAGTGTCTGAAGACTCGGCTTGAATAAAAAGATTTTGAAATTCCGGTTTTGAGTTACTCGGGTGCTGCAGGACCTCCAGGTTTCTTCGATGCCAAAAGTAGAATTAACACAGTAGTGTTGCAAACATTCTTTTATTGAATTTTAATATTTTACAAGTCTGGTGACCCTGGGTAGGCCACCAGTATTACAATACTTTAGCCTATCATGGCTTTCTTACTCCTCAGAGTTTCTCAAGGTGGAAAGGGATTTTTAGAGGGTTTTCTGTTTTTGTGTTCAAAACTTATGCCTCCTTCACTCCCCTCCCAGAACGACGGCGTCTGACTTTGGTAAGAGTAAACAGCTACGAGATCCTCAAGAATAGCTTTCAAATCTTTTGTTACAAAGGTGGCACAAAATGATTGGTGAAGTAGCCAATAGGAAAATGACAGAGAAAGTCGGCTATTGTTGGTTGAGGGTCAAATATTGGACTTGTTGCCATGGCTAAAATAAAGTATAATTTGCAATACAAAAAATAATTTCTGTCTAACATTGAAAATATTTTTATTTTTATTTTCTGGGCGGAGGCCACCCTCTCTCCTTTAGCACCGGCCTAACCCAAATATTATATTTTTAAAGATTTTTTTTAAATACATTTCTTACTTCTTTTTGAGCTACATAAATATGAGCATGCTATTAAGCCTACATTTATTAAATGTTATGCTAAAACAAACTGAATATTATACAACAAGAAGCAAAAACGTTGTGACTATCATGGGAACAGTTTCAAGCCATCATCTGAAAGAATTATCAAATGAATTGGGTTGGGAACTCTTTGCAAAGCATGTTTCTGGAATTGGAGACTGTATTGCAGATCAAGAATTGGAAAGAATCGGCAGAGACATTGTAAGGAAACGCAAAAGGCTTGCCATTAGCTTTAAAAAATCTTGGACTGTTGCGCTCTACTTCCGGTGCTGGGGAATGGCAAAAAATATCGAAAGTGTGATATTCGGAAATTGACAGACGAGCAGAGCCATATCCTTCTAGCTTTCAGATTGAATTACCATTATCTTCCCTCACCTTTAAAACGATGTTTTGCTTATTGTTCAATATTCCCCAAGGATTGTGTCATTTAAAAGGAGGATTTGATCTCACTATGGATGGCGCAAAATGTTCTGGAGCAGCCAAAGAGAAGTAGGAGAATGGAAGAAGTAGGTGTTGAATATTTTAATGAATTAGCATCTAGATCACTTTTTCATCCTATAAGTAACTCCTATGCATCCTCTTTTGTCGTTGATTTAGCTAAATTTGTATCCGGAAAATTTTATTCTCTCATAAATGACAACAACTCAAATGAAATTGAGATGATGATGCATACGCGTCATCTTATGTATGCTATTAAAGAGAAGTGTTACTCTGAATTGTCCAATTCTGTTTCTGAAGCACCTCATTTGCGCATTATTATTCTACAAGTCGGGCGCATTTTATGTAGGAATTTCACAAATGATTTGTTTTTTAAGGTGAGATTCCTAAAAGTTTTGTCTTTCCCTCATTGTTTCATAAATGTAGAGCTACTTGATTCAATAGGCGAACTAAAGCATCTTCTCTACTTGAATCTCTCGCGGTCTCAAATTGAAAGATTGCTAAAAGAGAGTCTGGCGAAGAGTTGTTATCCTATGTTGACACCTTCACTGGAGCCGTGCGCTCTTCGTTTAAATCAGACCCAGTAAAAGAAACTAGTAAGATTTCGTAGAAAAGCCAGTCCACTTTGACTCCATTATTGATGTCACTCTCTGCTGTAAGGCGAAACTAAATGATAATCGAATACCCGCATCAGGCACTCAATTTGATTATCTTAAAAGATTTGATGATAAATATGTCCAAGACTGAGATAGTAAATCATTTGTGACATATCATTTTCCTCTCTTCCTTATCCGATTGATTGACATTGTTGTTTGCTGTCTTGGGGTTTGAAACCTACTTTTGCTCTGATATTCAGTTGGTTTTTTATTTTTTTGTATTTTTTTCTTTTGTATTAAATTCAGATATATAGGAATTTTTCTTTTCATTTTTTGAGTTTGGAGATGGAGGTTTTTCAACTCTATACCATAAAATTTGAAATTCTCAGGCATTTGAATAGCATGTGTTGAGTGCGATTCAGATTACCTCAAAATCATGCAAAGCCAGAAAATCATGTAAAGCAAATCCCATGAGATGAAAAAGTTGGTACAAGCAAAATCATGTAAAGTGAATCCCATGAGATTGACTATTTTCAGAATGAAAAAAATTGTATTATTTATACCAGACATGGGAATCTTGCAGATTCTCATTCTTCGCAAGATTCCCATTCTTCCGGTGAAACTGGCAACACCTTTATCAAGATTTTTGACTCATTCTACTAATAATTCTGGTTAACATATAAATCCTTTGTGCAGGAGTTCAACAAGAGTGATGCTTACAAGATAACAAAAACTGATCCAAAGGAGCTGGTTGAATTCTACAAAAAGCGCTTTTTGGTATATGCTATTATCTCTTTATCACCCAGATATGTTCTTATTTCTCAACTAAATTTGTTCTTAGCTAAATCTCTCTCTGCAGGATCAACACTAAACTTGCCCAATTACATGCCATAAATAAAGGATTACGAGTGCTTTATTGAAAGTGTCTCCAATCTAAGTTTTAGTTTAGTCTTTAGTGGTTCTGTATCTCATCTGTTTTTTTTTTCAACAATAAATCTGTATCTGCTAAAGTTGTAGACTGTGAGTTGATAAGAATTGTGGAAGGGTATGATCAGCTTGCATGCCTTGCTTTGCGAGGCTTTTATAAATAATGCCTGAGGTTATAGTTGTGTTATTCTGAGTTATTTTTTTATTATTTTATTTTAGTTTTATTTTTATTCTTTGTTTCTAAGAAAAATTAAGAAGAATTACACAGTAAGGTACAAAATAGCTTTCAAAGTCACTTTAATAAAAGGGGAAAAGACTCAAAATACTACTTAAGTTGGTAAAAAAATAGTATTTATGCAACTCTGCTAAAAAATAAATAATTTTCATTCAATTAGGAAAGAAAAAAAATCACAATGAAAATTAATGATTTAGAATGATAAAAATAATAAGTTTATATAAAATTGTGATAAATCATGTTAAACCATGTGCTGCACAGGGGCAACAAAGTGTACAATATGTTTATGCTGCACTGGGGCTATATGCGACGCCATATATGTGACACAAAAATGAACTCCCATCTAGTTTCAATTTTAAATACTTTAAAGCTTACGCATTTCTTAATTCATATTACCACGAACAATATATGCATACCATACAATATGGAAAAATATTTAAAAGTACTATCAGTGTTAAGTACCACCACTAATAAAAAATGGGTCATACACATTACCAAACCCACTTTCTATTCGATGGCCTTTAACATTGTTCATAATTATATCTGCTCATACTAGCACCAGCAAATAAACAATAAAATTTCTACTATCCGTTGTCATACGCTTTGAACAATGAAAGGCTAGCCGGCTGGTCAATTAGCTTTTATTATTGTTGGTGGCAGATCTCAAACACTTAACACTTGTACTCTCTCTCTCTCTCTCTCTCTCTCTCTCTCTCTCTCTCTCACATAAACACACACACACAATTTTCCATTATCAGCTTTCTTGAATCTTTGGCAGTGCAACTGCAAAGTGAACTGATCAAGAGAAGATCATGGCTGCTGAGTTGGTGGGTGGAGCTCTTCTTTCTTCTTCCCTTCACATGCTGTTTGAGAAGATGGCTTCTCCTGAAGTTGTAAACTACATGATCGGAAAGAAAAGCTCCGGTTTGAATGTGCTGCTCATAAAATTGTAGATAAAGCTGTCCTCTGTCACTGCAGTGCTCGATGACGCGGAGTATAAGCAGATAAGAACCCGCGGAGTGAAACATTGGCTTGATGAGCTTCGGGGTGCTGTCTTTGATGCTTAGGTGAGTTAACTTCTCTATTTACGACTCAAGATTGAGGAGATTCTTGAGAGGTTGGAAAATATTGCGAGTCAAAAGGATATCCTTGGTCTGAAAGAGGGTGTTGGGAAGAGCTCATTATGGAGATTACCTTCGACGTCTCTGGTCGA